AAAATATAAAATTTAAGATTAAAAATTTGACAAAATATATCGATATTAGTATCAACTTAACTATTTAAAATTCCTCATTTTTGTGTAATTTTTTAATTTAATTTTTTATTATAATTTAATTTAGGTTCAATAAAAATATAATAATTAATTATTTTGTTATAACTCGATAATTATTCTAATTATATTTTAGATTTTTATATTTTAATATGAGATTTTTATCATCTATTTGATTATATTTATTCGCAGTTAGTTACACGAATTTAAACATGGAGTTTTAAGAAGTTGTAACTATGTATAATTTATTTGTAATCTTGAATTTGAAGTAATATACATCAATATACAGTACTTCATGCATAAAAAATGATTTTTAAAATTTTGTCAAATACTTTATAATATAGTATAAATAGGTTAAATTGATTTGATTAAAAAAACGTCAATAAAAAAAGAAACGAGTTAACGTGGCCACTTAATTAAAAGAAATGGGAACCCTATTTTAACAACCATTTTTTAATTACATTTTATATAAATATAAATTAATTAAAATAGTAATTTTTACCGGTTAGTTTCACTTTTTATCCACTTTTTAAAGGTTTACTAAAACAGTCTTAGGTCTGCAGTTTGATCCGCAATTTAATTTTTTTTTTGTCGATCTGAGTAAAAAATGTAAAAAAAAATGCGGACCTAGATGACAAATGTAATTTTTTTTTACAAACCTGAGTGAGAAATGTAATTTTTTGCAGGCAGGGGTAGAAAGTGTAATTTTTTTGTCTTTTAACTAAGTCTGCAATTGCGGACGTGAGTTTTGCGGACCTATAGCTATTTTGGTAAACATAAAGAGAAAATGGCTACGAGGTGAAACCAACCCTGAAAAATGACTATTTTAACAAATTTCCGTTATATTAATGATATGAAAAGGTTTAAAAAAATGCCAACACATAATCCAACCTGACCATATTCAGACGCAATCTTTTTGTAGGTGGACAGATAGGGATGTAAATGAATCGAGCTTTTGATGAGTTATTGAAGTTCAAGCTTAATTATTATCGAACTCGAGTCGATCTCAAACATAAAATATAACTCGTTGAATATAACGTGCCGAACTTCATAACACCAATGTTTGACTTGGCTCGTTCGAAAACCCCAAACAAGTCGAGTCGAGCCATTTGAGCATACACTTTTTCAAGTCAAACATGTTTATATATTCGTAAATCATAAAAATAAAAGTATAAAAATTATCGAGCTCAAACCAATAAACGAGATGTCGATCGTGATTTCGAGTCCAATAACAAGAACCGGACATCAAGCTCGAGCTCAAAGTCCTACTTTAAAAAAGTTATTCAAACTCAAGCCTCTTGTTATTTTTTCGATTCAAGCTCGAATAGCTTACTATTTGACTCGCCTCATTAACGACCCAATAAGATTTTTATCCGTTTTAACTTATTGTTGATATGTTCGTTTTATTACTTATTTTCTAGGGCAAATGGCATAGAAAAGTAACGTAATTTAATTTGATTCTTATTTTAAGTAATGTATTTTCGAAACTTCCATTTTGGTTTTTAAGATGTAAAGTTTTAGACATTTACGTACCCGGGTAACCTGTTGAAGAATAAACTGGTTACCATGCTGATGTGACGATTGATGTGGTATCCAACTCAATGTTATTTGCTGACATTGATATCTTAATCTAAAATTAGTTTTTATGTATTGTGGTTTATTAGAAGAAAGAGTTAATGCTTCAATCGGTTATCCGAGAACTTAAATATTTAAAACTTTACATCTTAGATATCAAAATGAAAGTTTTGAAATTATATTACCGATAATATAAATCAATTTTTCTTATTTTCTAACAATTAACAATCGTTGTCTCACCAACTTCTTTCCAGCTCAGCAAACATTTTTTTAATTTCCACGTGTGCTTTTTCATTTTTCTTTTTTAACTTGATAATTTTTAATGTGAATTTATCCACCGTGTTGGTATATGCTTTTGTGACAATGACGTGTCACCTGTGCAAGACACCCTATAGGTTTCTGGCATCATTTTGACGTGTTTTTTTTATTATAAAACAAGATATCGATATATAAAAAAACCCAATAATATTAACAACCCAATCAACTTGTACCGTTTGGGTTGGGTTGGGTTGGGTTATGATTTTTCAAACTATAAATATTAGGTTGGGTTGTTCAAATGATTTCAACCAGATCAAATCATCCCATAAACACGCCTAATTTGAACATGGGATCTGCAAGATGCATAATCCAACGTACCGAAAAGAAAGGCAAAAACTCTAGAACAAACAAATAACACGATGAAAAATGTTCACAAGAATGCATCAAATGGACCGCAACTAAAAACAGTCCAGACAACAAATCCTAGCAAGAGTATCGATCCAAACCCGAACAAATTAGCCAGCAAGTCCTATAACTGCTGCACCATCTGACCAAGAAAGACAAAAAATCGTTGCACGCTTGGATATCGAATTATATGACAAAAGTTGGAGATTGTATAAACGATCAATTTGGAGAAATGAATCTACATGAAAAAACCCGGTTGTTTTGGTAAAGCCAGATAAAGTATAAAGCGCTCCACAACACTGCTTCCCACTACAAACAAATCAATTAAAAAGGTGTTAATTGTCGCACACACAGTAAAGTTAATTTTTTATGACTGTATTTATCCTCGTACGTTTTAAGACTGTCAATTTCCAGTAAAATTAGGCCAAATTATCTTGTTGAAGTTTACATAATGATGATTTACAACTTTATAGACTTAGGGGCTGTTTACCTAAGCACTGACCAGTAAAATTCAACACTACCATTTACTTACCGAGTAAGATTTTATCCACTAAAACGTATTTTATGCAACAATTTATCCCGGTAAGCACTAACCATGGTAAGAGTTCTCGTCCTCACTTACTGTGTAAGACTCTTGATTCTTGCCTCCGCTCTTACTGGGTAGGATTTTTAGTCCTTGCCATACTCATCCGGTAAAGTAAAGTGAGTTGGTAGTTACTTACCCGGGTAAGCGTTTGGTAAACGACACCTTAGTTGGACATGTTTCAAACGCCATATTTGAAAAAAAAAATCTAATGGATCGGATTTTGAACGTAGAACTGACTTATTTGACAATAATCCAATCACTTTGGATTTAACATATCAAAACTAAATCAAGTTTAATATAACCCATTTGAAGGTAGCATTTGAGGATTATGAGATATACATAGATCTGTTATATACCTTAAATATTAGATCAATTGTCTTAATGAAAACCTTTTGTTTGCACAAAAAGGCGTATTTGAAAAAATTTGACCCATTGAATTCATAAAACTTTCCAAAAGTTTTTGGAAAAAAAAATTAGAAGTGACTGAAACGACAGTTTTTGAAAAGTATGACACAAACCAAACAATCCACTCAAAAGTGGGGCCTGGGTGGTATTATATACACGTCTACTGATCTTCTACTTCATAGAGTAGATCGACTGTTTTCGTGAATTTCTCTGACTTATAAAAAAGATTGAAAATCTGAGAAGAAAAAAAAAGATTATGGGGTCATTTATTAAACACTGATCTTGGCAAACATTTACTGGTTCAATTACCTTACATGATGAATATAACATAGACCGAGAAACCTACCCGTTAAAAAGGAAAGCAAGGATTGATAGTTTTTTACTCGATAAATATTTACCGAGTTATAAACGCTTACCATCAATCTATTTATAACCAAACTTACTAGTAAAAGTGTTATACTTTTGAGAAAAAAAATATATTTTATTTTAAATGTATTTTAATGATAAATTAATGTTAAAAAAATGATACATAATTAACCTTACATGGTTGGTTGGGTTATTCTATCATTCATACGGGTGGACTCGGTATGATACCAATTTTTTTTTAATATCGTGTATCAACCAATTAAATTGGTATGTAAAATCCTATATCATGTACCAACCAATAATTCCAGAACAAATAAAACGTAAAAAAAAAAAGAATAGTTAGATAATTTTGTTAAATAAATTCTATTTTCATTGTATTGACAAAGATAGGCATGTGAATGGAGTGGGGACCTCAATCCCCTTCCCCGATTACTTATCTCTATCCTTGTTCTCGTTCTCATCTCCGTCGGGGAATATAATCATATCTCCATCTTCAACGGAGAACGGCGTTCCCCAACGGGGAAACAAAGATTTTCTTTTTCTGTTTGTGTAAGTTATTTTAAATTAAATACGTGAGATACCATACATGTTTAAATCTCAAACATTTTCAATAAACCAAAACGAATTTAATTTAATACAAAAAAATCCACGACATCATATAAGAATTTATAACCTAAAACCCAAAAAATATTCAATTTAATCCCAAAAAAAAACTTAAAAGTTACATGTACCAAAAAATATTGAGTAATATAAAACCATATCGAGTAATATACAAAACTTATCAAGTAATTGTATTTTGACTTGACATCCAAAATATTACATATTAGCCTCCAAAAAATAACAATTTTAAGATTATAAAACTAGTTAAGAAATAAAAAATTATGAACTACCACTTTAATTGAAATTATATATATATATAATTTATTAATTAATATATATATAACGGATACGGGACAGGGCAGGACAGGGAATATGATACACATTCCCATCCTTACCTTCGGTTTGAGACAAGCAAAAATTCCCATCCCCGATTTTACAAGGAATTCCCGTTTCTGACCGAGACGAATGGACCAGATTCCCCGATGGGTTGGGGTCTATTTTCATGCCTAAACAAAGAGGAACATTATTGGAGTGATAAGTGTAGTTAATGGGAAGAAGGAAACTACAAGACAGAATTTTGTGGTCAAAATTTGCCCAAAACATACATCATCATTCATTACTCTAGCTAATTCCTTTAAATGCCATTCATCTTGGTGTTCCTTCAAATCACCTCACCTTTATTTTTATATATATATTGTATATATATATATATATGTATGTATGTATATATATATATGGCAGTATATGGTAGTTGAAGTAGGCGGTGCTATTGAGGGTTCCCATCATCATCATCCATTATCACCATTACCCTACCTCTCTTTCCTCCCCTAAAACCTCCCACAACCCAGTGTTGTTTCTTGGTGAATTTTTCTTCCAAATTCAATCATTTCAAACACCCACTTCATCTTCAACCTCACTCTGACTCTGCGTAAGTTTTCCATCTCTATTTCTGGCTTGATTTGACTGCACTTAACGAGATTGTGATCTGTAATAGCAGATCTCATCTCTAGCTTTTCAATTGGGTTTTTTGAACTTGGATCTCATGTGGGTTCTTGATTTTGGGAAGTGGGTCGTGCTTCATATGCTCATATTTCAAGATTTCTTGATTTTTGATGTTTTCCTGTTTGTATTATTGATCTAAATACCCCTTTTTTTAAACCAGATTTGAGCACCAAATGCTTTTGTCTTTGGATCCTCCCATTTGAATCAAGAACATTTAGGTTGATTCATTCAGAGATTTCTGGTCAAAATCTTGTTTGGAAAAAGGAAAGTGGAGTCATTTCAAGATTATGGTTTCTGGTTCTTGATGGGGATTGCAAAATTCTTGTTCTGTTATTCAATTCGGACCCCCAAATTTGAAAACGATGATTACATCGAAGACATTTGTAGAAAGATTTGAAATTTGATGAATACTAGGTGTAAATTTCAATGGGTGTGTGTGTGTTTTCTTGAATCTTTGTGTTATGATCTTGTATTTGCTTGAATTGATGTGGAGTTTGATCCAATTTTGTGTCATCCATGTAGGTTTAACGGCAACATGGGTCTTTCACCGTATCCGAGCCCATCGGACGCTGGGGTCCTGTGCGTGATTTTGGTGAACACGGCGATGTCGATATCGATCATGAAGGAAATCGTGCGTTCGATCCTTCATGTCATCGGCATCCATGTTGCGTCTTGGGAAGATTACACGAGAACGGAATCGGTCGAATGTAGAGGAACCCCATCGGAAACTTACATGGAGGAATTCAGAAGTCGAACCCCGTCGGTCCTTTACGACTCGTTGTGCCGCCGAACCAAACAAGAATGTTCGGTTTGTTTGGTCGAGTTTAAACCGGACTCCGAGATCAATCGGCTTTGTTGTGGCCACGTTTTCCACAAATCGTGTCTCGAGAAATGGTTAAAGTACTGGAACGTTACGTGCCCGCTTTGCAGAAACCATATGATGATGCCGAAAGAAGCCGAAGAAAACAGCTGCCCGATGTGAGGGTTTTTTGTTCCGCGGTTTATAGCGTCGGGCGGGTGTGTCCGGGATCTAAACTCTCGAGTTCTCGGATGTTTTTATTAACGCCCGACCAACGCGATAAACCGTTGGTGTCGATGACTTCGTATTTACTCGCTTTGTACATATTAAGTGTAAGGTTTCCGGTGTTGTATGCCACCTGAGAAACTGTTAGTTTTTTTTTTGTTCTCAGTTTTGGTTATGGCCAGGGTTGGATTGTGGAAAAGAGGTCATCTTTCTTGGTGTATTTGTGGTTTAATCTCTGCTAAAATTGGATGGTCTTTTGACACTTATCTGGATGAGTTTGGGTCGTTTTTTATCTTTGGTGCTTGGCAATTCTGTGGAAACGTGAAATGCCATATAGAAGGGGGAACCGAAATATCGGTCACGAATTCGACCAAATGTTTCGCTAAACATGATGCGTATAGGGTAGCCGCTAGACGAGTCATTTGGTATGGGTGGGTGTGTTCGGTGTTGAGGAATACGTTTGGAAGTTGTAAAAATGAGGATGTTTAGATGGACTTATGGTCGGATTTTGTTAAACAGGATATTGAACAAGGGATTTCGAACCGTGCACAGGAGACCGATGGCAGCGGTGAGGAGGGGGGCAGACGAAGGAGGATCGTGGGACGGGTAATTAAGGACGAACATGATTTCTGATAAGAGTTTTTGGAGATGTTTTGACCAGGATAGTTGATTTAAGGAAAATTTATATGAATAGCCAAAACGGATAGTGGTTTTCTGATCTAAGTTCACTTTTTAGTTAATTCTTACGTAAAAGGTTTACACATGTGTGTAGTGATCGGTTTTCGCCAGAAAACCCTTGCGCATATTACGCATATGCTTAAGCCTTCCATGTAAGGATCAACTAAAGAGTAAGCTTTGAGTCCGAAAATGGATAAAAGATGAAACCGTTGATTTAAGGTATATAGACCTATCGCTAGCGCTTATAGGAGCCTATAGGAGGAATAAGTGTGTTAGAGAGGCTTAGGGGTTGTTTGTTTAACTCTTAATAGTTCCATTAAGAGGCAACATCTGAATCGTTAAGAGGTAAATCTTGTTTGGCAACAAAAAAAAATCTGCCTCTTAATGGTTCTAAAACCTTCTGAATGATTTTGTATCATGGGCCTCTTTTGACCATTAAGTGTCTAATTTCATCGTAAACAATTACCAAATAATTATATTTCATTTTGGACTTATATCATGAGTACCTCTTAATCATTTTGTACAAAACCATTCAGCAATTGTCAAACATCCCCTTTAGGGATGGTAATGGGGCGGGGACCCCAATACCCGTCCCCGTCCCCGTCCCCGTCCCCGATCCCCCGTATGTGTCCCCGTCCCCGTCCCCGCCGGGGATTATGATCACATCCCCATCCCCATCCCCGTCCCCAACGGGGAACGGGGATCCCCAACGGGGAAACGGGGATTTTTTTAAGCAATTTTATTACAAATCATGATATGGAGATATAAACTGAACAGATACTTAATACCTCAAATCAATTAATCTGTTCGTCGCCGGTTGTTCGCCACCGGCGCTGTTGACGCCTTGTGAAGTTCCAAAATATCAACTGCATAAAAATTAAACAAAACAACTTAGAATTAGCAAGTAATCCTTAGTTATACGAACTATTAAACGAAAACGTAGTTCAATTGAAGAACCTAATTTGTACAAGAAATCAACTGTCAACAAGAACCTAATTTGTACAAAAACCTAATTTCTAAAAGAAAGCAGACCAGTAGCCGGAGAGGGAAAGCCAGAGAGGGAGAGTCAAAGTGGTAGTATAAAATGGTAAATGATTAATAGAAGACCAGTAGCCGGAGAGGGAGAGCCAGAGAGGGAGAGTCAAAGTGGTAGTATAAAATGGTAGATGATTAATAGAAGACCAGTAGCCGGAGAGGGAGAGCCAGAGAGGGAGAACCGGAGTGGGAGTCGCCGTCGGCCACTCGGCCTGTCGCCTTCGCCGGAGAGGGAGAGTCTGATCGGGAAAGGGAGTCTCTAAGCGCCGTCCGAACTCCAACGTTCGTGTCTTACTCGTATAGTAGGGAAGGAAATCGTACAATGACAATGAGGAGGGAGGATGCGGGAGCCTGGAACCAGGAAGGAAATTGTAATTGTGATTTGTGAATTTGTACTCATGGACTGGACTGGAGGAACGAGAAGATGCATATGCATTTACTTTTTTTATTTCAAAGCCCAAAGCCCAAATTTATACAAAACATATATATATAAAAAACGGGTACGGGGTGGGGCGGGGAGTGCTATACCCGTCCCCGTCCCCGTCCCCGGCTTACGCCAAGCGGGGATCCCTGTCTCCGTCCCCGTCCCCGGGACCCGGTTTTTCGGGGAATCCCTGTCCCCGACCGGGGCGGGTGGGCCGGGTTACACGGGTCGGGGTCCATTCTCATCCCTAAGCCCCTTAGGGTAGAATGAGGAGGTTTAGGGAGTTAACATATGGAGTAACATAAGGTTCTTGATTTTGTGTGTTTTTTCCCATTTTCCTTTTCCCTCTTTTTTCTCTTCTCTATGTTACTTAGTTTACGTTAAATTTAGTGGTCATTTATCGAACATGTTTATTGGATGTCATTTATGTTATTAATGAACATGGTAAGGATCCATAATCTTATTCGGTAAGAGATATAATAAAAACCGAAAATTTTACCTGACAAGTGAGAAGACTTATCCATTACCGATTTCTGCGAAAAACACCTAGCAACAATCCATTTTTATGGTCGAGAAAGTTGCCTAATAAGACAAGTTAGATGACGACTTCTTTTTTTTATTAACCTGGATATCCAACCCGCTATGCGAGCCGACTAACCCCAGGACGACCACCTGCTTTGCAAATAGTCGGAGTCACAACATTTGAACCTCCGTGGTCACAAGGGGATTTTTGTTCTTCCTTGGATTTGAACCCAACCCGCTATGCGAGCCGACTAACCCCAGGACGACCATCTGCTTTGCAAATAGTCGGAGTCACAACATTTGAACCTCCGTGGTCACAAGGGGATTTTTGTTCCTCCTTGGATTTGAACCCGAGACCTCTTACTACTTTTGACCTTTGGAGTAATGTTCAAACCAATCAGACACCACCCTTGGTTGGAACCCATATGTGAAGGCATGCATGACAATGGTAAGCAGATTAAAACAAAATATGAAGCATCATATAATCTCAATAAACAACATATTATGGAAAAATATAAAAGGAACTTCTTTTTCAAGTTCAAGATAAAAGACTACTGGGGTGCCGCATAATATCGACCTATCTGTTTTTAGAACAAATCTTCTGAAAAGAAAAGAGAGTTTTTAGAAGATACGAGTGGGAAGTTTTCAGTTTTCACATACAAACACAAGAAAGTTCTCAAAACCTCAAGTAGCTGAAGAACTGCATGTGTTGATGCCATCTTTGCAATCTCTGGTCAGGTCGTTGAACGTCTCGATTTGCTTTTTTCCCCTCAAGAAAACCTCCGTATCAACCGACGCCCTCATGTACCCGTCGAACTCAACCGGGACGCCATTATTCAGCTTTGTCATCTCGCTGTACCACTCGCTGTTCTCGTCCCAAAAACCTTTGTATTCATCAAGAAAATGAGTTGAATATTTGTCTTTCAGAGGGTCAAAGAAAGAGATATCTGGTTCGTCTGTTGCAATATACAAATTTCTTCCATCATCGACCTTGTCTTGCAACGAGGAGAGAAGGGCGTCGGGTGAAGTATCGGCTGCAAGATTCGGCCATTGTTCCCTATTCTTTGCCTTCTCGCCTCTCACAACATGTACGGAGTCGAAATCCCAGTTCATTTTTGCTGCAATTGCTGAAACTATGTCCATTAATCTTCTTGATTTCCATATCATGTGCCATGGTCTTTGAATAACAGACTCTGCCTCTCCTTCACACACTCGGTACCAGTAATTATCAGGCTCCACACTTCCAAACTTTCTCATTATCAATGTATCCTTAACCCCAGCCATCTTCATTGGGGTGACCCTGATATCCTCCACGAGCGAAATACTCAATCCGTCTTTCTGATGCCACTTGTTCCAATCTGACCAGAACTGACCCTGGTCCAAGACGGCTGCAGACTCCTTCAAATGCTCAAAATCGAAGTAAAACCTGAAATCTTTCCCTTCTTCATCTTGACCTGATGCAGTATAAACAGACGACAAGCAAATGCTCAAGTCCATTACAAGCGTCCGATTCAAGTATTGAGCTTCACCCAAAGCACACATAAAACTCCACAAATAGTGATCCATGCTCTTGCATCTTTCCCCACCACCATTGTACAGTAAATACCTCCCTTGATCAAATGACTTCTCGGATTCAACAACAGGGAGAGAGTCGTTCACACTTTCTCCAACTACTTGAATACCACTACTCTTGTCATCTTCGCCCATTGGGGTTTTCTCAAACCCGGGTTTCTGATGCCTCTTCCTCTTTCTAGCATTCCCTCCTGAATGATAATCGCCTATACTAACAACACTAAGACTACAATTCTCTGACCTAGAGATTACAAAGCTACGATAGTCCTTATAAAGTGAAGCAGTCTTCCCTTCTTTAGGCCTGAATCGCCAGGCCATGTGACAAGAGCTATCATTCATCCCACGAACCGGTTTCCCAAACCTATAGAAATGTATATCCTTAAACTGCTCGATAGCAGCAGTCATCATCAGATGAAAAACCTCTGGATCAGTGCAGTCTATGGGTTTATCAATCTCACCACTACAATCACGAGCCTCTATTTCCGCAGCCTCCGCATCACCCTCGGACGTGACCGGATTTATAACATCAGAAGCATTTATGGATTTACCATATGCGGTTTCGTTCGCAGTCATAAAATCCTCGCCGGTTTTTACGACGGTACTATCGGATACAAAGGTGGCATTGGAAGTGGAAGTAAGGAAGTTTGTAAGCTTAGTTGAAGGGTGAAACAAAGGATCTTCAGGTTCATAAGTAGCCGCAATGATTGTGAAAACTAAAACACCAATTACAAAAAACGTGAAACATAGGTTTCCGATCAATGCTAACGCATTTTGACCTAAATTCTCCGGCCGGAAACTACCAGATCGCGATGGTAAACCCCGGCCCAACATCATTTTGTCTCGATTTAGATCAACACAATAAACAAACAGTGTATTTGAGATTTAAGGGATGAACAATTAGGGTTTTTGCAGATCTAAAGAGATGTAAGCCTAGATAAACAGCAATCTGGATCAATAATTTCGACTTACCTTGTGCATTTTGAAGTGTAATCGGACTAGATGTTCATCGAATCAATCTTAGATCTGCATTTTTTGCTGCTCGGTGCGATTGATTGTGAGCTTGTGTGCTACTTAGTGAGCAGCAAGTCAATTGTGTGGGGAAGATGCAAACGTGTAGGGTAAATCGGTGGTCGCCCACTCCCCACTGTGCACATGGTGCAAGTTAATATTTTTGAATGTTAGTGGCTATTGTACGCATACGGTTAGATCCACCGACGTATTGCGTACACAAATTAAGAAGTGGTCCCGGTCCTATAACAACAGCTGTTTCCTACATTTTATAATTAAAATTTCATTTTAAATGACATTTAATTAAAAAAATAATCATACACCTTGTTTTTATGTCCAAGTGTCGGTTAAGTTTATAACACTACTTATTGGTTGTTTGGAATGGTTTGATGCAGAATAATTAAGTGATCAGAAAAATTAAAAAGTTTTTATGATATAGTGTAAAATAAAATATAATTGTTTACAATGAAATTAGTGTGCTTAATGTTAAGGGAGACCCATGATACAAAATCATTCAAAGAGTTTCAAAACTATTAAAAATCAGACTTTGTTATCAAACAAAATTCACTTCTTAATGATTCAGATGTGGTCTCTTAATGGAACTGTTAAGAGATAAACAAACAACCCCTCATTTTATTAACGAGAGACCACATATTTTTAATTAAAGTAAATTATGGATTTGGTCCTTGTGGTTTAGTGGTTTTTTTCACAAAAATGGTTCTTAAACATTATTTATTACAAATTAGAACTCATGGTTTGTCGTTTTATAACGAATTGGTCTCAACCTCCAATTGTCATCCAGTCCACTGACCTTCAGGGCATTTTCGTCCTTTTTCTTTTTTGTCTTTAATCGAGGGATTAATTTTGTAAAAATCACACAACAACAAAGACCAAATCTGTAATTAAGTCTAAAAAATAAAATTGTATTAATTTTTTTTATACTTTTGAGTTTATTAAATTAATTAACTATTATATATATAATATATATATATATATATATATATATATATATAAAATATTTCAGTTTTTTTTACCTACTATACCTTAAGTTTAATTATAATATATAATATAGTTTTTTAAAAATATGTATTACGTACATATACATATGTGCATACAGACACACGCATATATAGTGAGGTCTATGAGAAAATGATACCTACCAATCATTAGATTAATTGTTTTAACGGATATGATTAAATAGATGTTTACAATAATATTTTTTAAATTAAAAAAAAAAGCTCGCCTTCGCCTATTTTTTATTCGAAAAGGAAAAAAAGGAGTAATTTGTAAATAAATTACACCGAAAAACAATCATATTTTTTTTCACTAATTTAACATTCATATTGATATATTTTTCCCTCATTTTTTCCTTGTTTTTTGATTTTTCATTTATTTTGCGTTGAGAGAGAGATGAGTTCAAGGGGCAAATGATAAATGAAACCGGAAAATCACAAAAGTGGTGAAAAAATATATCAATGTGGTGTAATTTATTTCGTTTGATTTTTGTTTATATTTCGTTTTTTCCTCCGAATAAAAATCAGGGGTGGTGAGGTTTTGTAACTTAAAAAATATTGTTATAAACGTTCATTTAATCATATTTGTTGAATCAATTAATCTAGTGGTTAATAGAGACGGATTTCACTTAAACGATTTAACTTCACTATGTATATATAGCATGTGATACATATTTATTTGAAAAAGAAATATTATATATTAGAATTAAACTAAAACTTAAAGTAAAATTATATATATATATATATATATATATATATATATAGGAGCGATCAAATRAAAACCACTCCAATTTGTAAAAACCGTAAAAACTACTCTCATCTATCGTTAATCTTATGAAATTTTTTCATAAAATTGTTAATCTTGTGAAATTGTTTCATATAATA